GGCTTTTTTCGAACAACCTAATAGAAGCGAAGATTATAACAATTACGTGACGGAGAATCCATAAGAGAATTTTGCTTACGTCCCTGCTCTGGTCGATTAACTGCTTCAAGTCGATTGGACGTCAAGGGAGGCAAAGGGGAAGATGAAGTTGGACTTTCAACTTGACGTGGGTGCATATCAGGAACGGCGGTGGAGGGGAGTGCTGCTGGTCAGCGTTCTCCTCATTGCTGTTGCAGTCCTACGATTCATGACCAACACCCTCGTCCAGGCCCGCCAACCAACAACAATTATAACACATTTAAATCACATTATTTTGAAAAAGGAATCTTCGGGTTCGCACGACACTTCTTTGTTCAACGACCATCGACCTGCTACAGGACGGGCGAAGACTCATAACTAGTATTGGGCTTTTGAGTTGGTGCCTCCGTTTTTCTGACACGCTAGAAGAGGGCATCAAGTTTCGAGCCTCGCACATTCGGTTATCGCAAAGCACGACTTTGATACCCATGGAGAAGGGTAAAACAAAAGGAAAGGTAAAAGGAAAGTCTTCGCCGTTGATCAATCCCTTTGTGGGATGCGGCACGCATTCTACTTCCATTCAGAATCGTAGTGGCTTATTGAATGCGATGTGGCCTATACAATGACTTGCGGTGGCCAGCCGATGTACAAGTCAGTGTTCTTATCCTCCCAGACCAAATCTTGTACCATCTTACTATTCCCGAGGAAAGGAAGCTTGGCCGACCTGGGCGGAAGAAGATCGGAAGAAGGATTTGAAACGCTCGCGTGGTCAGAGTGCCACTTGCCACTACACCACCTCCTCCAAAGCAGAAAGGTCACAGATCAAATAGCATCGAGCTTTGCGATATCGATATAGAATTGCTTAAAAAAGTAGTAGATGACCCCAAAATGAAAAAGGAGGTGAAGAGGGGGTAAAAAGGGACCTCTAAAAAACTCTCAAATCTGGAGCCCGACCTTATATCGTTCTAACCGTCATCAAATGCCTCCGCCGACGAGCGTTGGTTCCTTGTTCAATTGCACAATTCAGGTCTAAGATATGCAACACCTGACCTACAATTGCGCATTTCAAGAGGGTGCCCATCTGCCCCGAGAAATTTAAACGGGCCCAGTTAGACGAGGAGGCCACAGTGGTAGGCCTGACTCCGCCTATGCGTCTAACGTCAACCGTGCAAATATCGAAAATATAGCATGTTTGTATCGATCGCAGTATGATGAATAAACGTTTTATATGAGGGAATAACAAACAAAAGTCACCGGACATAAAACCTACAAAATCCTGAGCACAATAGATTGGACTGGAATGAGTGAGTTCAGATCTAGTATCAATATAACCACGCATAATTTACACTCTTCTAAATACACAGCAATTCCTGCAGCTACTTTCCCACGCCGATTCCGGAGCCGACACCAATATTTCCTGCACCCGGTGCTTTTACACCAACACCGCTACTGATACCGAAGATACCACCGCCCTGAAAATGTAATAGGTGGTTGATAGAATTCTCTGAAGACTATAATATGACGCTTGCCACGCCATCTGCGCCACTTTTCCACAGCTCTAATCGCCGCCTGTATATCGCGCAGTGATGGACCAATGCACTGGGCGAACTAGACCCACCCGTGAGCTTACAGTTTTTTGTTTTTTGTTAATGAGTTCGAAGAACAGTAAAAATGCGATATTCTACGATATAGCTACTATGACTGGATTTCGTCCAGAGCACCTCAATGCAAGATGTAAGAACAATTAATCGAATGTGAGCTCGCCCTCATCCAATACAGCCCCATCTATGGTAGGCCCACTAATCATTGCGCATTAAATATACATCATTGTCAGACTTCCTTACTACTCTTTCGATTACTGAACAACTACCTCCGTATCTTCTGCAACTTCCCACCAACATCATACCCTGCACGGGGAGGGGTGAGAACGCAGCTATAATTAGATGTCACATCGTCCGAGTGAAAGTGTAAAACCTCTGATTCCTTCCCAACATTCCTGCATCGCCCCGGATTACTTATAAATACCATAGAGCGAAGAAGTACTACACCTCTTTACAACGACTCGAAACAAGTTCCCATTAGACGGCTATGTTGAAAGGTGAGGTGAACTGCCCCAGCACACTAGTGTGAGCCTATAGCAAGGTCTTCTACTCACCTATTTCCTCTCAACTTCATTTATACTTAACGACAGACATAGTTTTACTTTTTGAGCTGTCACTTTCGGATGCTTCCATTGTTGTTAACCGGTACCTTATTCATGTGGGATTGTCCTGTCCCTGCGGTACCTGTCCAGGTGATTTTTCGCTCCTCAGATTCCGAAATCGAGTACGCTGAATTGTCGGATTACAATGGAGTTGAATATTACTCTGATAAAAGCAACAAGTGAATGATTACAACGTTTAAATCCCTTATTCTCACAAATATTTGTTCGAATGCTACCTGAATAGGATTCCTGTGGTAAGGCGAGGACAAGCACAGTGGAAAAAAGAGAGGAAAAATTGTGCTCAAAGTAGTTTTTAGTGTGAGGCATAGAAAAGACCCCCCCCCCAAAGAGGTAGATAGTGGCGCCCTCTAGAAACAATACGAATTGGCATGGTCACGCCACGGCGTGCCCCAACTATCTTTATTCCGGAACGAAATTTTCAAATTCTCCCATGCTTCCGAGGCACAAATATTGATCATCAGATCAGCATTCGAATCGTATGATTTTGTTCTAGGAGCGGGATTTCACGGCTGGTCGTACATGGGGGACTAACCACCACAAGAAGTCTTTACAAGAAATGGAACACCTCTCTTCCCATTGGCATTTGAAGAAAAAAAAAGAAAAATTAATGAGAAAAAGCGCAATGACTTTTGCGCACACAAAACAGTCTGACTGTGCCTTGAAGACAAGCTGTACACTTCACCAGGAGAAGCGATCATTTCCTGGCGCGGGAAACTGGCAGCCAGATAGGCAGTCAAGAAGCGCACTTTTTCTTCACTCAAAAGCGCATGAAGCGGGACAACGGAGAGTATTTGAAAGCTCGGGTCCGTCCTCAGGCAGCATTATTCCCGACAATTCGTGCAGCACTTGCGTCGATACTAAAGTTCCGCACCGAATACGCAGTCAGGGTCTAGAGAACCAGAAATGAGAGGGCGCAGACAAGGTCGGCGCGTCGGTGCTTAGGGATAGTGACAAAGAGGATCGTAATTCGCCGCGTTGCTCGGCGTCCGCGTGCGAACGTCGTCGCACTGCAAAGTGATGAATGTTTTCAACAAGGTAAGTATATGGCGAACAACGATGCAATGATGTTCCGAAAACAGGTAAATGAACTGTTCCATTTGACGGTCTATCATAAAGTCCGGTGTTCCTATTCGACGAGTTAAAGCGAGTTAAAGGGGGGGTGGAAAACGCTCGCGCCCATCGCTGCACGTGTGGTGGCGGGCTATAATAACGATCGCTTTACCGTCCTCCCGTGCGGGCTTATGTTAGGCGTGCGACTGGCTGTGCTCATCATCCTCCAACACCGTTATTGTGTACTTTCGAAAGGTGTATCCTCTGGTACGCTGCGGATGAAAGGATGTGTCAGGCAGCACAAGTGTGGCATGGCGCCAAACCCGCCGTCTACCAGTTTTTAAAGAAGGGGTATGCTCCGACAATTGGTAGAAAACGAGTAATGCGAACGATATAAGTCAGTCTTTTTCTCGCTCTAGCAGCCAGGTAGAGAACGGATTTGGTAGTGCGCCAACCCATCCCGCCTGGCATGCCCTTTCGTCCGAGATATGTGGCTACTGCAGTTGTGGATCCTCTACCTCTTAGACAGCAGGGCTAAGATACGGAAGATAGTGTGCCTTTCGTCCTGAAGAACAACAGGGCACTTAAAGACACTGAAGACAGTAATCAGGTCAGCAGGAAAATGGGCAGAGACTCGCAACCACCGTACCGACGACTGACGCGCTCCTCCATACCACTCCCTCGGAGGAAGAGGCGTAGCATGTCTTTAAGGTAGACTTTTAGATATTTAACAGAGAGAATAAAGCAAATCAAAGAGATCTCACCGATGCCGACCCCTACGCTTTCACCCATGCCCGGTATAGGTCCAACATCCACTCCCCATCCGACTCCGATATCCAGTCCTGGAACAGCTCCGACGCCAAAACCAAACTTGCCGTTCACGCCAACATGTCCAACCTGAAATGTGGTTGAGTGTTCAGAAGCCGTCGTCATTCAGAACATTTGCCAGCGTTGACCCGAAATGGAAAAGCCATTAAACACCCACTCCTTGATCGCCAGAAGGTGGTCCCATACGTGGTCCAGGAAGACGATGGAAGTTAGGAACATTGCAGAACGCCGAGTAGTCCTTAACAATTTTATTCTGAGTGAATTACAGGATTTTCGAGTTTTGAATGAGACTAGTCTTACAATCAGTAATATCGAAAGAGCAAATCATTGAAATGAGATAAAGCCTTCAACGGCAAGGATTTTAAATGTGAACGCTTCCGGGACATTTCGCGACTACTTGAGCGACGCTGGGCAAGGCGAGTCCGCTGCCACACGGGTTCTGTGGCTTTCGCGCCGCGAAAGTGCGTGGCAATTGAGCTAGGTGCTCATGATGTATGGGTTAGGAAATCGGAGCTGGGGGGATCATACGGGAGCCGGCAAAGACATACGTCTGTCAGTGTTTTGCTTCAACTCCACACGAGGTTGGTAGATCTGGCTTCCTCAGAATAAAGTGAGATTTTCAAATCTGATATATCAGAGGACGAGAACTCGTCTAAGCACCCATTTCTGTTCCATTGCTTCCGCTCAGCCTACATTATACCAGTCGTACAATGAGGGACCCGTTTCAAGGATTCCTCACGGTAAATTCGGCTTCCTTCGTTGGCAGCAAGTCATTTAACATCTCCAGCTTTGCAAGATCCACCCCTGAGTTAAGATGAGTTGAGCCTTCGCAGTTTATGGCGGTGAAGCCACCCTGTGTTTCCCTGTCTGGTGCGCCTCCTTACCAAAGAGGAGCAAGCTCCCGATGAGGAAGGGGAGCAAAGTGATAAGTCTGTCTCGTATCGCTCGTATTACTCGTTTTCTACCACTTTTTGTCGCATGCGCGCTTCAACAAGAAGGCAGAGAACGGTTTTACGTGTGCACACTCATACTGCCTGACACGCCCAACCGTCCGCAGCGAACTAGAGTATAACTGATTAGTGGAGAAAAGCAGCAGAAAAAACACTCGAAATGTCCTGAATAGGATTCCATATCGACAGCAACTTGTATGTACGTACAGTCCTCATCATTGCGGACCGGTGGGGCGTGTCAGCCAGTATGAGTGTGCACACTGTTGAAGCCGTTCTCAGCCTTTTTGTTGAAACGCGTATGCGACAAAAAGTGGTAGAAAACGAGTAATACGAAGGATATAATACAGTAATGTCACTTGCCCGCTTCAACAACTGGTGCAGAACGACTTTGGCCCCGCGCCAAACGCAGCCGCACTGAACCGCCCGACAGCACGTAATGATGAGGACTGTACGTGCATGCAGTGAGAAAAAGGTGTGTTTGTACGAATTTCCACTCGTCGTTATCATAAAGATATCAGCTCTTTTATCTTATCACCTCACTCTCACCATTCGGAATGGAGAGAGATAGCATAGTGGCTACTAGCTAGTAGCTAGCAGCCAGTAGAGGTCGAATTGGTCTAGGGGGTGCCCAGAGGCCTATTTGGTCAGGTTACAACGGATCTTACCGATTTTCACTTTCTGAAGGTAGCGCAGCCTTCGCAATCTCCTTCCAGATCGTCTGACATATTTGAGAGGCCATAGTCTTGTTAAATCGGAGAAGATGCCTTCAAACAAACTTACTTTACAGAACTCCACAAGATCCATACGTAATGGTTTACTGGGCTGACAGGTGTACATGAACATTCCGCGCATGTTGGGGCAGAAGTGAGCGTTTTTCGGGTGCAGACCCGGGTAGACCCTAAAGTTTCGGAGCTTTATTGTGACATTTTGCTTATGAAACTTACATTATAGCAATATCCACGAGCGAGACTCAGCAGAAAAATAAATATTAGTACAAGTTCCAGCTCCTAGCTGCGCTCTTTTCGAAGGGACATATCCTACACTTTACATCACCGCAATTGTCGGGTCGGCCCGCACCTGCGGCGTTTCCATCATTGGACCCGATCGCCACTGGTAGAGCAACGAGGCCGAATTCCCACGGACCGCGTTGCACAGCCGCCCTCCGACAGTCCGCAATGATGAGGACTGTATGAACTAGTGAGCCTTTTTCATTGGTGCCTACATCTTTTCAACACGAGACAGGAGGGCAGGGAGCACAGCACAGTTGGCCGGGCTCTACCCATACGACAATCATAGAATACCCATACACGTGCCTGCATACCCTTGCCAGTCGTGCATCCTCACCTATCCTTGGAAAACTTACACGTGGGCTCAAAGAGTTTTTGAGGTGACCACCGCTTGCACAGAGGGTTCTTTCATTGCTCATTTCCAGGTTTGTGAGTATTTTTCTCTACCCTCGCACATACTCGTGTCCCTCGAGCACCGAGTACCTATCAAAGACAGCCCCCGCGCTCAAGTAGTACATGGTCGTCCTTCCTTGTGCAAGTAGTCCAGCCCCCAAGCTAGAGACTGTCCCACTCTCGCGACCACAGCGAGCGAGGAGCGAGCTACAGCCGCTGAAAGTTCTAGTTCTAACGCCCGCTCAGTTGGACCGCCCACTTGCTAGATGCCCTCTGACGGAGGGCCGCTCAGTTGTTCTTGTTGGGGCGGCGGGCATTAATCGGAATTGCATGTCCTTTTTGCTGACCGCGCTCGTGCCCATAAGTAATTCTGCTCTCCTTTATTACATTTTATTCATTAGGAGCACATACAGTCAACTGCAATTCCCGCAAGGTAAAATGTGTAAAAATCACGAGTGATTTCGCAGTACAAAAAATCTCGACGCGCTAAAAGATGCACGCTGGCGTAATCCTTAAAGGCAGCGTCCGCGATCAACCAAAGTGAAAAACCCTCCATTGAAAACGAACGCGGAGTCCGCAATCACAGCAGAAATCCCACTCTTGCGGCTCGAAATCGATTGGTTGACGGGAGGGCGGAGTCAACAAGTCTGAGCTGACGCTCCTTTCCTGTTAATCCCGCCCCGCCGACTGGTTAAACAGTTGTTCAGTGCTTTGCTCGGCATTGATAACGCTATAGTGGTCTAAGTTCCGACGGCGACGTGTATTGAGAGAACTCACCAAAAAAGGGCGGGGGGTCTGCGAAACTCAGGTCCACATGCGCTTAAATTCGTAAGGGTCGTATGCCTCTTCCACACCTTTTCCTACTTTTTTTGATTAGTGCTTCATTGGCCACCTGTTCTAACAAATTTGACCCCTGAGACCTGCCAAAGTCCATCGCGGGCGCTGTCTTTAATTCGGACACCGAGTTTTTGAAAGTTTCTTTTTTGTCAAGAGTTTTTCGTCAGCGACGGGAGACAGCGGGGCGGTGCGACTGTCAGGGAACGATTTTGTTCACGGGGTTTTTGAGGAGACTTCTTGCTTTTTTCTTCTTTGTGACTGTTCCATATTGAACAGCAGTAGACATCACACTTGTCAATGGGAACTGCCTTTAGCAACACAGCAGTGCGTTTGCACGACGAACGCCCGCTAGCGCCCGCTCGGGAAACCTGATGATTAATTGGAGCACTGGTGGTACATGTGATGTTATTGTGTCTAGCAGTTGTGCTGAATCGCTCATAAAACTTGAGTAGTAAACGTCTTCTCAAGATTGGCCTCTGATCCTTGTCGTAAAAAAGGGCACCTTCCAGAATGTGCATATGGCTTTTCCTGCACCACTAGGTATCATTCATTCCATGACTATTGCAAATATGTTGATTATGTGCTTTGGGAAGACGTTCAAACTTGTGCTGATCTTCGATGAATTAGTATAGGTATAGTGTAGTTCATTGCGGACGGTTGGGCGTGTTCGTGCGGCTTGCGTTTGGCGGTGCCAAACCTCCCGAGATGCTTCACGCGACAAAATGACAATAATGTATCATACTTCGTATCACTTGTTTTCAGCTGCTTTGTCGCGTTGCCCTTTCAACAAGAAGGACGAAAGCTCAAAGAGAGGTGAACACACTGCGCGTGACACGCCCACCGTCCGCAGCGAAGTAGTGTTAGGATGAGTTTACGGCTGAGGTCTCTTGTAGCTCGCTCTCCTGCATTTTTGCGGCATCTGGAGCATTTTTGGGGTTTGGTCGTTCGATGAATGGGAATACCTCATGACGCTGATGATTGAAGATACACGACATTCAGTCTCATTCTCAAGTGATTATTTCAAAGAGTGTCTGCCGCGAACTCGCTGGCTCTATGAAGCGATCTGCTCTTCCACTTCTTTCGTAACGTAAGGAAGGTGAAGCTGACGAATGGTACTACGTATCAGCTACTCAGTAAGGAGCTCCGCAAGAGACTAAAAACAGAAAGGGAGGCCTACTGGAACGCAGTAGCGGAGGAGCTCGAAGAATCGGCATCCAAACACGAGTATCGCATGCCGTATCAAATTCTGAGAAGACTGTGCGGCAAAACCAGAGCATGCGGAACCTTCATCAAAGACGCAAGTGGCAAACTCGTGAAGTCAGAGAGGGAACGCTTACAGAGATGGAGAGAGTTCTTCATAGAGCTGTACAGCCACGAACTGCCCACAGAACCGTTTCCAGAGCCAGTACCGATAGAGATGCCACAGGAACCAACACACGAGGCGGCGCCAAGTATGGAGGAAGTGAGGGCGGCGGTGATGTCGCTGAAGAACAGGAAAGCGGCTGGTGTAACAATGCTCACAAGCACGAAGCGATTAAAGCAGTGAGGAGAAGGATTGTACAACGGCTCCACACGTTTATGTGTCGGTCTGCAGACGGAGGCTGTTCCTACGACGTGGAAACGCTCCATCATCGTGCCAATACACAAGAAAGGCGACATAACGGAATGCAAGAACTATCGCGGCATATCACTCCTGTCAGTCGTCGGGAAGGTTTTCACAAAGATCATCAACGCAAGACTTCAGCTTCACCGAAGAAGCTTATGCCGACCGGAGCAAGCGGGTTTTTGCCCTGGCCGTGGGTGCAGTGACCAGATCTTCGCGCTGAGGCAACTACTGGAAGAACGTATTCGTTGCGGCAAAAGGGTTGTGGTTGTTTTCATAGATTTCAGAGCTGCATTCGATAGCGTCCACTGGCCAGCGCTATGGAAAGCCCTAGAGTGTGAACACGTTCCGGACAAAATTGTGAGGCTGTTGCGGGAGGCGTACAATGGAACTGTCAGCTGTATCCGCGTCAAGGATGACGTCTCTGAAGAATTTCCTGTAAGTGCTGGTGTTCGTCAGGGTGACGTGATCTCCCCTACGTTGTTCAACGTGGTAATGGACGCTGTCATGAGGAAAACTTTTCAACGGAAGGCAAGGCGTGCAGTACGGTGAAGGCGGCTTTCTCACTGACCTGATGTTTGCCGATGACAGCGCAATTTTTGCCGAAACTGACGAGGAAGCGACTAACATCATGTGCTCACTGTCAGAGATTGCCCAGTCGTATGGCCTCAAAATAAACGCGGAAAAGACCAAGGTGATGACCTCGATGGATCGCCCGCGTCCGATGCGACTGGGTAGCGTCGCCTTGGAGCAAGTGAGTAATTTCAAGTACCTTGGATCGGTCGTTCAAGAAAGGAAAGTGGCTGCCGAGGCTGAGGTCCGCAGCAGGATTGGTCACGCGTCTAAGACATTTGCAGCGTTAAAGTGGTGTCTCTGGAAGAAGAGTAACATATCACTGAAAACCAAAATTCGCATGTTCCGGACGCTGGTGCTCCCGGTGCTACTATATGGGTCTGAGACATGGACGTTGCTCAAGTCGGATCTCTCTCATCTCGAGGTGTTTCAAATGCGTTGTCTCCGCCATATGCTCGGGATCAGGCTTCGTGACCATGTCACGAACAACGCCATCAGGGAGAAGTTTGAAGATCAACCCACAATCGAGGAACAATTGAAACTGCGACGGCTACGATGGTTCGGTCATCTGTGCAGGATGGGTCACGACAGAATACCTAATATGCTCCTGTGGAGAAAACGCCCTGCGCAGTGGAAAGTTCAGAGGACGGCTCCAAAGAAGACTTGGTTGAAGCAAGTTGAAGAAGACCTTAGGGCTCTGAGGTGCAGTGTTGAGCATGCTAGACGTATTGCTGCTAATCGACCAGAATGGAGACACTTCATTCAGGGCGTTCGTACTCCAATGGCACCCACAGCAGTGTACTGGTTGAGAGGCCGGCCCCCACCACCAGACGCAAGCTAAGGGATAAGTAAGTAGTAAGTAAGTAGTCGTACTACTTTCACATCAAGCTGCCTGCCTTTAGTATCAAGTTTATCTCAGCGACTTGAGCTTCAAACTATGCCATCTTCCATTTACCCCTTCAAGGGCATATCCTCTACATGACAGATTCCAACTTCTTTTGTCTTGGAGCTGTGAACTATTAGACGTTCTTCCATTGTTATGCTTCTGCCGTATTTTTTTGAAGTGGAATATTTTCTGTATTCCGATTTTTGCCATTTTCGCCTATCCATAGCTTAAAGCTGAATGAGGGCTGACTCTTCAGTGAGGTCGTCACCACGTCTCTCTATACACCTGCTTACGACCCCAGATAGTTGTTTGATTGATGAGAAATTTGATGCTTCATAGAAGCTTATAGCTCTGATTAGTTGAGGATTAAATGAGCCCTTTTTTCTCACAACCATAAAAAGCATCGATCGAGAGAATGCGGAGTAGAGTGAGTACCACTAAATACAGTCCTTCATCATTACGGACTGTCGGGGCGGCACAGCCGCGCTGCACTGTGACGCGACAGCGGCTGCGGCTCGGTGACGGTGAATCAGCTGATTTCGATGGAATTCGGCTGCAAATTCCCACTTTTTCAGCTCTTCAAGCTTCTAAAGTGGAAGGTGAGTTATTCTGACCAATTTTGAATTGTACTGGCTCTGATTTCCTTTATTTTTATGATTATTATGCTCTTTTCCTTGTATTTTGCCTTATTTCAGGTATTTATTCAAACGGCTTACATTCTTTCAGATTCATTCAGAGTCAGTACAATTCTAAATTGAATAACTCACCTTCCACTTTAGAAGCTTGAAGAGCTGAAAAAGTGGGAATTTGCAGCCGAATTCCATCGAAATCAGCTGATTCACCGTCACCGAGCCGCAGCCGCTGTCGCGTCACAGTGCAGCGCGGCTGTGCCGCCCCGACAGTACGTAATGATGAGGACTGTATCAGGTCACGTCGTACGGCGAGGGAGGTCGCTTCCGCTCTGAGATAGCTGCTTTCTATTGAAATTTGTCAATTTTCTACCTTTCTTGTACGCCATATACCCCTTTTCTCCACCAGC